TTTCTATTAGTCTTTGCTAAGTGAATAGTCATGATTGACAAGTATTATTGCCAAATTACAAAGTATTTAATTATTTGTATTTGTCTGAAAATAGAGTGTCTTTCTAAAATTCAATAGATGTCGTTATATTCAAATGTATTGAAACGAAACTTGCTGCGATTTGATAAGTAAATTCATTTCTTTCGTAAATTACAAAAAGAACCAATAATAACGTGCGTTAACCTATTTTATAGTACGCAAACAAGTAATTTCCATTAATTGACGAAATGAAGCTAAATAACGGCGAACGACAATAGTCGTATCGAGCGATATTTCTAGCGACATGTAAACGATCACCGTTTTCACACTGTCTACGACTCGTTATCTTCCACCTGGATACGATGACCGACGATATCGGACTTCTCTATTGTAAACATTGTATTATCTAGACAAACAATGAGAATCTGTACCTGGAACTTTTCGATTGTTTTATCACAGAATTAGACGCTGGTATTCATCATTTGTATCGAAATCGTGTAACAGATAGAGTTAGTTCTCAGTTTACGAGAACGTGTTCGCGACGCAACTAATGAATGCAAGCTTGACATTCATCAAAATTTAAGAAGTCATCAAATTGAATTGATCTTGACTAAAGAGACAAAAAGCATTGATAATACCTTTGCTGAAATAACGGTCATGTTTGATAAATTAAATGTGAGTACTGTTTTTCGTCTTAGAAATTTCTACGTTTTGTATGTTTTCTATACTATTAGGTTAGGAACAAGTTGTTGAGCTTAGACCAGAAGTGAATGAACTCAAACAAAAGGCTAACGTGTGAAAACAAGAAATGAATATTTTAAAGGATCGTCAAATGAACAATGATCATCATCTGCTAGTGCATGAAGTCTTTAGCAGTACTAGAGTTCTTTTAATTGATGCCATTCGACGAGTGAAATTATTCTACAACTATCTGGACCCGATTTACAATACAAGTTTTAATGTCCAGAATCTGCAGACAGTAAACTCATTGTTATCCTATATAATTGAAACAGTTGCGAACCAATTCGGTCTAACTATGGTCGACCTTATTGATTTTTTTTTCGAGTTAAACAAAAGTCGAATGTTACTTTTCACCTAGACTCCGAAATGAAAGAGTTTGCCAAACGACATGTCACTAACGAGAAATACGATTTGTTGAAATTCATCGAAGAAGAGAAGTTGCTGATCAACGTCGAAACTATCGAAATGACAATATTTCAATCTATTTTTCAAAAAGTTTGCGTAATTTTCGATGGTCAATTATATGAAGATAATGATCTTTTAATGTTTCACTAGAAGTGAGGAAACTCATCCTTGTCTTTGAAAAATAAATCGTGTTTATTTTCGATTTATTCACAATCACACATCGTCGAACAGTGTCTCTATAGTATGACGAAAACATTCTAATTGATTCTTGAAGTTAATGCCCTTATACTCAACCTTTTTTTTGTATGGTTGATTATGATTTTCAAAAGAAAATTCTCATGCGTTGCCCTGTACAATGGAAAGCCAAGGCATTCAAACTTTTCCTTGAGTATCTTGCGTTACTCTGCTACATTCAATATGTTCCGATTGTTGGTATTTACGTTATGCTCTTTCAAAACTTCGACGTCTTCCGTAATGTGGCCGTCAGTCTTATTAAAATAGGTACGTCTATTAAATCATTTCTAATCTTAATTGATTCATGTATGAAGAAATCCATAGTGTTTCAATTTGAATTTTGTATCTCGCTATTTCTCAGGAGACTTTTCTGATTTGTTTCGAAACAGTTAGATTTAAAAGCGCTGAAAGGTACATAGATCTCTTGAACCTAACATCTTCAGCATCCAAACGATGCTTTGGAAATATTAAGATAAGGTACACCTCAATTGAATCATATCTCATTTTTTCTGATGTATGGTCGAAGATACAAATTGTATATTCGAATTTTCCAAATTAATATCCTGTATTCGGTGTGAACTATTCTTTTCCATTTCGTGATTTCGTCAGAAGTAATAATCCTTCTTTTGAAAACTTTTTTATATGAAAAAGAGTTCTTTTTTTCTCATTACAAATGTTAGATTGGAATGCCACTAGCTAACAAAATAGATATGGTTCTACAACGATTTATCAGGTTTCCATTTGATTAAAGCATGACCTGAATATCAGAAAGTTAAACTTGAAGCGACTGATTTTCTTTGACTAAAAATTGTTTTCAACAACTTCTCATCGAATTGACTCGAATGCAATCGGAGTTGATCTTGATCTCGTTTGATTTTAGTGATGATGAACATCAGTGAAATTGGCTACGATATTTTCCTCTATTCCAATACAGTCACCTCTTATTATCAGGTAGCCTTTATAATAAAACAGAAGATCTTATGACGAACGCAAAGAAGACTCGTCTTAACATGATGTACATCAGAAAGTAAATTTTCTCATAACTTTTCTATTTGAAACTATTGCTTGTATTAGAATAAAGGTATGAACTCAATGTCCTATCTTTTCATGAAATTTAACGGAAAATCTACGATATGCTTTTGAGAGTGTGGATGAGCAGAGCCACAATAATATAACTCATCTCAGCTATGAGGTTCATTACATAGCAAAAACCTTAGTAATTTTGATTAAACCACATTGAAGATCAAATTGATGCTGTTTTATAAATGTAAAAGAAAATTATTATTAGAATAGAAAGTTCAGTTCATTGTAATGATAATACATGATATTACTTATAAATATATCAATAATAGAAAACAAAATAAAACATAATTATTATCGTATAAAGTACTCAGCAAAAGTTTGAGATATATTTTATTTTTTTATTTTCTTTGAAAAGGTAAGAAAGAATAAATGTTTTTACATATGCATGGTCGGCATAGAGATCATACGATTCATTTATGTTCAGTTAAGTTGATTGTTAGCTGAAGATATAGAGCGAAATACATTTTTTACCTATAGGCGAAAGTTCAAGACATTTTTCATTGTTAGCTCAATAGTTGATTATATATTTCTGATACTTAAATTCAAGCCTGCTCAAAATGAAAATGTCCATACAACCTTGTATTCGAGCGCAAACAATGGCTCTATATCAATCTGACTATTAATTTATCTGAAATATCTAAACAACTCAAAATTTCATACTGTTGAGTGCGAAGTAAAATCATCAAACTTGAATAACACGGGATATTTGAAAGGAAGTGACTATGTACACTCAGAAAGATAGAATCATTTTATTGAAAGATTTTAAGTTATAATAACTTTTATATGCTCATTATTATTAATATAAATCAGATATTTTAAATTATTACGAGTGTTACTTGATAAATCATTTACTATGTTCATTATCATGTACGAATCAAGGTGTTACAACCAAACTAATATAGAAAAAAGTATACAATTCGAATAAAATTCAACTAATTTTGAAATAGTATCCGTTATCCTCGTATGCTTCTAATGTAATATCTATACTTCATTATTTCAAATATATTTAATCCAATAATCACGTGAGAATTTCTGTTTAGGAAACCAAAATGACTGAAAGTTCTTACGAACATCCTCATCCATATACTACACTCAAAAAAAAAGGTATTTTAGAAGATTTCGAATTTTGCAACAAAATCGAAACATTTTTTAAGTTTCGTATCGTATCAGTTTTTTTCAGAGTACCCTCGCAGCATTATTAATAGTCTTAGGTTTATAAAAGTGTCAATAAAATGTGCTACAGGAAACTTTGAAGTGAATATTAATCAGCGTATCTTTATAGAGCACATCTTTCGATGTCGAATTCTTCTACATTTCAATATTCCATTTCGTAAACGAATTAATCACGAAAAAAAAACCTTGCCTTCCATGCTCAACCAACAGAAGGAAGCTACATTTAAGAGAAAGGAAAAAATTGATGTAATGTAACTTTTGTTAAATATTCTGACAAATAATAGAGCAGCAACTATTGTTTTTCAAGAGTGAGAGAGGAATACCTAGTTATGTTTCTAAATTAATTAATCTTTATTGGAATTGATCGTCTTTTTTTTCGTTCGTAAGAAACAATTTCACAGGTAAAATTCATAATAATTTAAAATATCTGATTTATATTAATAATAATGAGCATATAAAAGTTAGTATAACTTAAAATTTCTCAATAGAAGGGTTTTATCTTCCTGAGTGCACATAGCCACTTCCTACTTCCAAATTTGAAACGATCTGATAATCGATTAAATGTGAGTAGAATTATATGTTTGTTTACCATAAGCAGTATCGAAAGACGCCGTACATCGTTTTCTCAGGAAATTTGATTATGAATATGCTGTAAAAATAAAGACACATTGACGAAGTGCCAAGGATAAGAAAGTTCTTACTGAGAATGATGCAATTTCTCTATTTTATTTTTGCAATAAAATAAAAAATAATGACAAGTGTCGTAAACTTTTTCCTATAGAAAAAAAAAGTATTTCGTGTTATATCTCCAGCTAACAATAAACTTAATCGAACTTAAATGAACTATGGAAGACATGGTTTATATTAAATTAAAGCGCATCGAAAATAGAATTTATCAATATTTGAGGGTGAAAGTATGGGCATTTTCTTCATAACCTACACTCCATCCACACCCTCATGTAGCTTAAAGTGGAACATGATTAATCATCTCAACTTATTGAAATATCATCATTAGTTGGTACTTGTCCATTACCTCAAACTACTATTGATGGCAAACATTCAAATATTTAGATTAAAGAAAAGAAACAATATCTTTTTAAAATTAGGTGCAACACAATATGTTATTCAAAATTTCTTTTTGAATCTTATTCGTTATAGTATTTATGAACAAACTTGTTTGTTTAATTGATACTTTTTTTTCCAAGCATCCCACTACTGTATTATATATTTTTCCCTATATTTGAGTTTCTGACTCGTTTAGGCAATTGATTATCATAATTTATCACAAGAGTATAAAAAAAAGAAATCATCTCGAAAGAGGCACATACAAATAAATAATATTTTGTTTATCTAATACGAGATTTGTCATTGACAATAAAAATATTTTTTCCTGAACCAACAATCATATTTAATCGATTGACATCTGTATCAGCACAATAAACACCATTTTCAAGATCTGTTATACCACCGACCATCTGTTTTAAAACAAAAAAAACATATGTTAATATGTATTAAGGAAAACAAAAATTTTTTTTTTTGTCTCACTTTTAATTTTGAATAATCATAAATAATAGCTTCATTTTTATCATTTCCAGCACATAAAATATATTCTTTCACAGAAAATTTCGTACAATAAAGCTAAAATAATTATTAAATTCAATATTTTTTTATCAAATTTTACACTTACCATTGATGTAGCATTATTTTTAAAAACATCTTTGATTAATTCACCTGTTGTAAAATCCCAAATCTATAAATATTCAATAAACAAAAAATTCATTTTTATTCTATTTATTCAAACTTGTAATGTTGAAGATTTTCTCCAAGAACCTGTTAAAATAACTTGATGTTCAGCAACAATATCTAAAGCATCACCACATAAATGTGGACCAGGAAAATGTTTTTGTGAATGTAATGTACGTTCATCCCAATAATGAATAGTATCATCCCAACCACCCGTAAGAAAAATAGTTTCTATAGTTGGATGTGAACGTATAGCATGAATACGACTTTTATGACCATCCATATTTTCTCGACTTTGTCTGTCATTATTTAATAAATTAGAACAATTTAATTAAGAAAAAAAAAAAAAAAAAACTTACGATGCTTGAAATTTATGAATTAATTTTTTTGTTGTAAAATCATAACAATTTATCGCACAATCACTACCTAACAAAGAAATAAATCTAAAATGAATTTGAATTTTTCCTATGATTTTTTTATACCAGCAACAAATAAATGTGTATAGGTACTATTAAAATCAAGTGCTAACGGTTGTCGTTCTTTTTCATCGAATGTAAAAACACATTGTTGAGTTGAATAATGCCAAATTTTGACATAACCAGCAGTATCTATACAAAACAAAAAAAAAGAATACTTATGAAAAGATTTTCTTTGTAATTTGACATACAAGTAGCAGCTAACATTTTTTGATGATCAGCTTTTAAATCATCTTTATTTGCATAGAATTTCAAACATGTTACAGGATAACCTAAGAAATATAAAATATTCAATAAAAATATATATGTTCAATATAAATAAATAATATTTACGTCGAGTTTTTGTATCATTGTCAGATAGGGAATATTGAAATTGACCTGATTTCGAATAAATCTACAATAATATATTTTAAAGTTATATGTCGAAAATAATTTTCGATTTGAAATCTTTTTAAAGAATATTTTTATATCGTTTGTTTCGATTTTTATACTAATAAATAACGAATGAACTAGAACAAATGGTTATGTTTCAAGATGCTACGTGAAAAGCTCTACAATCTATAATACAAAACTTAAATTTATATATACATCTTTTGTTTTCAAAATTGACAAAAATTCTGTGTCATAACACAGAATTTCACCTGTTTTGGAAACTAAAGACGTACATATAGAAGAAGATTTTTATTGTAGATTGTAATGTACTTCATTAACGTTTTCTTGGGAAAACATAATAAATAAGAACTTACTAATTAAGATTTTCTGTCTAACTATAAAATGGTACAAATTAACACAATTAAAGAAACTTAAAAACGTACTTTAATTGTACCATTACCTAATCCAACAGCAAATGAATCACCCTGTGGACTATATTTACAACAGAGGACATGTTCTTCACAATCACTACAATTGAAGAAAGTTTTTTTTTTTTTTTTTTTTTATAAATATTGTTTGTATTCGTTTTGACTTACACAACATTAATTAATTCAAAATTACCCAATATTAAATGTTTAGGACGATTATCAATTGTTGTAGTTGTTGACATTCGACTTGCACGACTAGTACTCGACATTGTTGGTAGTGAAGCTTCACTACTAGCCAAGGTGAGTGAACCACGTCGTTCATCTAAATCAGTTTTTTTTTTAAATAGTCATTAAAAACAATTCAATATCAAATATCAAGAAAGAAGAAAATATAAAATGAATGTATCAACTAATTTCGAAAGTATTGTCGTAGTATCTTGACAAAGTTAGATTATGCCTTATGTTTTACATCAAATCAAACTATTATATTTTCTGGTAAAACAACAAATAAAGTATTGAAAAAAGAAAATGTTTGTACAAATAAAAGTAGATGAAGAGTCTGATTAATGTAAGTTTCTCTCTCTCTCACTCTTCATTTTTACTGATAAACAATAGTATTTTATTTACATATTGTTGTAAAGGAATAATATTTTTTTCTTCTATCATCAACAAAGTTTATACTATCATGAATTTCAAAAAAATATGATGATGACGATGTGCATGTTTATTTTAATAGAGAGTCATAAAGACAAAATTTTTAATTATACGTATACATTAATGTTTGATTAACTTACTAAGTAATGATTCAACAAATTGAGTTCGTTCATCAAAGGTATTGATTTGAGAATATTTATTAGTATTACGATTGAGACCCATTTCAGGTTCTGGTTCAGAACCTGAATCTTCATAGTAATCCTCCACATCACTTAAATCATTCGCATGCGAGGTAAAATTACCCAACACATTATTATATGTGGACATTTTATCACAATCTGCAAGACAAAAACAAACGATATAGGTGAGTTTTTTTTCTTCAAACAAATGTATATCATGTGTTCGTAGCCATGGCTCTATTAGCCAATAAATATTTGTTGGAAGTCGGACATGCTGCTGAATGGTTGATAGAAGAGAGCAATCTCTGTAAGTTGTCATAGGGGCATCAACATACATGTGCTGCCATCAGAGAAAGTTTGTTTCTAATTTCATTTATGTCCACTCACATTTTCATGTATTAGCAGAAGAGTACGACTTGTCCAGCTAACGACAGTCCAGCGCGGTCAAAGTTGAGCAGAAGATTTCTCGAACATAAGACGACCGAATTTATTCATTCAAAAATTTTTTATTGCTTTTCGTATATTCTCTATCGATAGATGTCATTTGTTTTAGATAATGATGAGAAGAAATAGTGGTCGCCAGTCAAAATCAAGCATTTTTTATGCAAAAATGATGAATAATAGTGATATTACCGAAGATTGAGCTACAGTTTAATATCAATGGATCGCCTTCTATTTTTGTCAAAGCTATTAAAAAATATGCTTTTTTAAGGAGGTCGAAAAAGGTTGATGAGTGCGTTACCATAATATTTTAGTGATAACTCGTTGTAGGAACAACCATTATCAGATCTGTTGTCTTAGCTTCAAATACAGATAAAAGTATTTTGTTCAGAGCGAGAAAATTTTTAGGAATGTGAGCTTTTTCGTATGGCTCTGATCGAAGAGGTCCTTTTGAATGAGTGCGTTACCACGACTTTCTATCTTTCTAGAATAGTTGCAGTTCGATCAAACGAGTAAAAAAAATACGTTTGCTAAAGAAAATTTACAATATTAAAATATCTGTAGCACTAAAGATGATTGTTAATATTCTCTTTAAAAGATATTATTATTTGTGAAGTTAGGTTGTTTTTTGAAGAAACACAATTTTACATTGAACGAATGTTTATTAATTATTTTCTGCTTAGATGTCGATTTTTTAAAATTATGTAAGTTCTTACAATATAATTATATACTAGAATAGCATTCCATTAAAATAATCTGGCTTCTATAATAATATGTACGAATATAACTTATCGTTGACCGTGTCGACTATTTAATATTATCCAATTCTGTTTAAGGAATAATAAATATCTTGGATATAAAACTTTGTTATATTTCTACTTGAAATAGACAGAATAAATCTCGAAATTTTCGATAAATAATTAGGTGTCATCATCTTCAATTTTATGATGAACTTAAATGTAGTCGCAAAAGTTTAAGACATCTTTATTTTTGAAGTTTTTCATCGAAGGTGAGTAGCTAGGTTAAATCCAAATAGTGATTCGGATAGCTCTTGAAATTCTCTATCGAATATAATATGTGTCAAATTTTCAAAAGAAACTTTATAAAGAGAGTTTTCCAGACAACTGTGTCAGGAGAGTTTTGACAGAAAATTTTTTTCAATATAAGCATCTGAAAGAGTAGAAAATTCTGAACAAAATGAAAGCTCACTCAGCTCTTTACCATATTCCGTCACAAAGTTATAAGCATTAGAAAAAATATGGTTTTAATCGAATTTTAGGGCTTTTTATAATAGAAATCGACGAAAAACGTGTTTTTTTTTGTTTTCCCTAATGTTTATAACTTTGTGGCGGAATATTGTACAGAGCTGGGCGACTCTTCATTTTGTTCGGAATTTTCTACTCTTTCAGATGCTTATATTGAAAACATTTTTCTGTCAAAACCCTCCTGACACAATTCACTGGAAAACTCTCTTTACAAAGTTTCTTTTGAAAATTTAATACATATTGTATTCGATAGGAAATTTCAAGAGCTATTCAAATCACTATTTGGATTTGACCTAGCTACTCATCTTCGATGAAAAACTTCAAAGACAAAAGTGTCTTAAACTTTTGCGGTCCACTTTAGAATGATAGATAGTGATTGAATCAATCGTTTGAAGAATAATAATCATTATGTTTATCTTATTAGAATCAATGAACTAATGAAAATAGTTTAGATAAATGATCTGTTAAATTTATAATATTTTGTTTACATTTGATTTATCGTTGAAGAGAATATCATCATTAATCATCTTTACAAAGATAAATGTTCACTTTCTTTTTTTTTGTTGTTCTGAATAAACAAACATAATAATATTCTCTCTTTCGAGTTCATAAAAGAAAAATTGAAAGAGAATAAACGATCTATTTTGTTATCTGTTATCAGTAGAAAACAAGAAAATCTATTGTTTAAAAAAAATGTGCTTGATTATTTTATTATTAATACAATTAATAGTTATATCATTATCAAAAGAAGATATAAATAATTGTTATTTTACTGTTTCTTATTTAAATGGAAGTCAATATAATTGTTTAGATGAAGATTGTTATAAATATATTGATATAATATCATTAGAAGATCAACAATGTCGAACTAATTATTTATCACTTAAATTTTCATCTCAATCAACATATAAAAATTTTCTTCAATTAACTTCATTAGAAAATCCTCTTGCTTCATTTTTTTCTAATGGTCGTCCAAATCTTGAACGTCTTCTTCAAATTGAATTTCAATCATCATTATTTAATGATGATCTATTTAAACTTAATCAATTACGTTTATTATCTCCTTATTTTATATCAAATATTGATACATATGAATTTATATTTGATGGATTTATTACAAATAATAATTTAACATTATTTATTGATAAAAATATGTTTATTAGTAATGAACAACAAATAATTGATACATTAAGATTAATATTTAATTGTAGTCAATTTGAACGAGTAGAATGGGAATTAATTAAAAGTATTGAAAGTCTACCAGATTCACCATGTCCTCAACAAATTCAATTTATTAAAAATGATTTTATTAATAATCAATATTATAATAATTTAATTATTCTAGTAGGTTTAATTATTTTCTTAATCAAAAACAAAAATTTTTTTTTTCTTCTGTTTTAGATAAGTCTTATTACATTTGTATGTATTATCATTATAATAGCTCTTATTATGATTGCTTTATTTTATAATAATTATTATATGAATAATCGATTAAAACAAATATCTACATCGAATAGTCGAACAGAATTAATAACAATAATTGAACGATTTTAATTTTAATAAATTTTATTTTGAAAACAAAAAAAAAAGCAAATTTTTTTTCTTCTTATTTAATAATAAACTAAAAACGAAATGAAGTTGATATTGGTGTAAAATATTGTTGACCAAATAAAGAATTATTGTCTAAACTAATTCTTTCATAAATGTCGTTGGACTTCTTTGTAAATTGATTCATTGTGTGGTGATGGTAATCGAGAGATTTTATATGGTTTAGCATTTGATCCATATTGACAACATTCTCTGCAATTATTGTACTAACAAATAATTACGTTATACAAATTTTTTTATATCAAATTTATTTTGAGGAGAGTTAAAAACTTTTTTTTTTGAACATATATTTATGCCATCTATTGAAAAGAAATAAGAGAAGTTAACCACTGAATAAGATTCGATTTCAATTTAAATACTAACACCTTAAAAAATCATTAAATATTTTTTTTGATATGAATCATCCTTTATTCGATAGGCAGCATTCAAATAAGAAAAACTACTCAAAAAAAAAATCGTTCAACCTGCATTCCCAATGGATCGATACTTATTATCATTTTACTCAATCTTTGGACTATATAAAGGAATATTTATCAAAAAAAAATTCAATTCTAAACTATCATCCTAATATTTTACTCAAAGAAAAGTCAAATGATCGTTCAAAAATTCGTTTTAATCGAAACTTTTATAATAAAAGATATAAACAAAATTTTTGTTCCGAGTTTGATGTTAAACTTTAATAAATTTATTTATAGAAATAAATAATAGCGAACTTTTATGAAAGAAAATTTTCAATTGATTAGAACTTTTCATGTCAAATATTGCCTTACGATTAATAACATGTTAGACAATATCTTTGCTATGGAACACTTAATAAGTAAATAGATATGTGAGAAAAACTAAAGTGCATCGACAAAGATATTCTTTATTTACTGATATATTATTATTAATAAGTTATTAAGTAAATTACCTGTTTTTGTTCTCAAGATCATTTGATAAAGTTGGAATCGATGAAGATCTTCGTCTTATTGTTGTTAAATCGATGTTTGAACATCGTTTAATAGATACATTTCTATAGACCAATATAGAAACGATTAATACAACCAATATAATCAATAATGGTATTAAAATCTTTATTTAAGATTTATTTTAATCAAATAATTAAAACAAAAATTTAACTTACAATAATTATATTATAAATTGATTTTTGATTTTGTTCATATGATTGAATATTAGAATAGGTTATTAATGAAGAATTATTTAATAGAAAATTTTCTTTTTTTGTAAATAATTGATGTTGACGAGAAAATAATGATGGTATAACAATTTTACTTGAACAAGCATTTTCATTATATGTTATCAATGAATTACAAATACTAGAAACATTTTACATGATTTTTTAAAACATTTTCGAACTATAGTCAAAAAGCTATGGGTAAATTCTTAATTCTATAGAATAATGTTTCACGAGATAGTTATCAAACATTCCTCAAAATTTTACTTTATCTTTGTTTGGCAGATAATATCACTCCGTAGAGTCTTATAGAGGTACTTTTTTAAAATCGTTATTTTTGTCTTAAAGACTAATGATAACAAGTCAAGTAGCGTAAAAAAAATTATTCAAAATGTTCACCTTACATTTTGCCATCCTATTACCAATAATGGAAACATAAAATATAAATAATGAAAGTCGCCAAACGATATTGATTTACTAATACGTACGCTTTTTTTTAAGGCTTGTTTAATGAATATCTAATGAAAAGATCATCCTATAGAACTAACTATTTGACAATAGTCTATTTGCTAGAGCTCGAACATATTTTTAAAAGTGTCATCCTTTTTCAATATTTGTCGATTGCTGAAAAATTGGGAAATACATCAATAGGATTTATTCTTACAATTGAACTTTGATAATATACCATTGAGGATAATTTTGATCATAATGTATTAATTGATCAAGATAATAATTATTTGGAAGATTTTTAATAAATAATTCATATAAATCAATATGATTTCCTAAACGAATTAATTCATTATGATTAACTGGTTGATCATCATAATCAATATAATTAATAAATATTCTCAAAAGACGAATTCCATTAATTGATCTTGATGGAAATAAATCAGATAATTTCCATTTTATTCGATTAATAAATAAACTATAATTTTTATATGATGAAAATGATAAATAAAGTAAATTTGTTTTACAATTATTTGGTGTAACCATAATTGAATATGGATCAATATATTTATAACATTGATCACTAATACAACTATCAATATTGTTATCAGATTTAGTAACCATATAATAACAAATATTATCCATACAATTAATTTTAATTATAACAAATAATAATGATATTATCGACCATTTATACATTGTAATCATATTTGAAATAAATTTGGAATGTTGAAAATCAGTCTTATCTTTCTTTTTTTTTGCTCGGTTATTCATCAAAAATACCAAACATTTTTTCTCTAAATCATTATTATTAAGACATTTATTAAGAGAAAAAAAAGGCAAGGTTATTCTCATTCAAATGAAGGAAATTCAACTTTTATCAAATTTTTGTTTTTAATTTCTATAAGTCACTCAATAATTACATAAACAAATCTCTACTTTAAACTTTATCGAACCAATATATATATATTACACTTGACAATTATCCATTATATGAAGGGTGTGAGTGTTCATCTTCATTTTACCCACGCTCAACTATGAAAATTTTGCTGTGACATGTTATAGATACTGTATATTGCGAATTTTAATTGAAGTTATGCAAGCAATCCTATCCTGGTCTTCTATGAACTTTAAACAGGTTTCAAATGAATTTGATAGTCTTAGGCCGTGGTTTTGACTTGAGACTATGAAGAAAAAGTGACTACATGAAAAAAATTCTCCAATTCTATTTTGATGAGTTCCTCTACAGCTAATTTTCATAACAAGAATAAGAAAAGAAGATCATCAACAAATTAAGAAGAACGAGGAGTCTTTTCGAAAAAAAAGGAGCATTTACAAGTCAGTCCATTATGAAATGTTTAGATATTGATAGCAATCAATTATTCTATTATAAAAAATAAATAATACAAATAATTTCACTTACACGAACTATCTTTTATATACAAAGAGTAATTATTAACAAATGATTTTTATTTACATTTAAGAATTTTTTGAAAAAAAATAATATGAGAATTTTTATCATAATCATTTTTATCAAGTACTACTAGGATAAGATACAATATTCAAAGAAGGAAAATAATGATCAAATTTTTTTGGATAATCACATGTATCATAACAGATTAATCGTTTTATATGAGCACAATTGTGTCGTGTTGCATCTCTTGTAAAATTTTTTGTAACATTTTTCAGATGAGAATAAAATAGTTTTAATTCAATTAAACGAGGTACGTGAGTCTTTGTATCAAGTAAAAATTGTTCAATATAATATTGATCCTGAACCATCATATCAAGTGAAATAAGATGAGAAAATTGAATAATTGAATATGATTGAATATAATCAGCTTTATATTTGTCAAAATTCCTTAATAATAACATTCTATTGAAAATACCAAAGTGTTTCAACAATGGACAAGCTTTAGCAATTAGAACGAAGAATTCCTGTTTGAATTGAATCATATCAAACACCGTCAAGTAAGTAATATGATGGAATATTATAATTGGAAGTCTATTAATGATCACTTCAAGACGATCAAATGCAAATGGAAGTGAGAAAACATGACATATTGCTTTGGATGATCGACGACAATAGCTTACTGTACAAGATGTTTGATAATAACCTATATTTTTAAAAGTTTGTTGTATATCATTATTAGATAAACGATGAACTAAATCATTAATTTGAATTATAGTACTAATATAAAAAATAAATGTATGAAGTTGTAACATATGCATAAGAATTTCCTTATGTAAATGAGTACCATCAACAAATGTATGTCGATCTGTAATACGAATATATAAAGTCAATTTTTCTAAATTTATCATACGACGAAATAAAGGTATCATTCGATTGTCATATGCATTAGTTAGATTATAACATGTTAATGAAAAATATTTCAAATTAGATAAATCATCCTAGAAAATACAACAAACATATATTTAAAAACTATATCTTATTATGAAAATATTTATATCAATTATCGATCAAACATTTTTTATTTATATTCAACTATTTGAATTTTTTCTTATATTTAATCTGAACATATAAAATGAAACAAATTCCTCTCGCCATACAGATCGTGATGAGCACCTTGGTCATTCTGTCCTCGAAGTGTGTGAATAACACTTAATATCGTGTTTCACATATCAATTCTATAAGGACTGTGTTAACAATTTTTGTTTTCATTAATGACAAACAAAACAATTGATATATTTTCTCTAAACTCTCACTATATCAATTAGAATACATAGTAAAAGAACTCGAAAAGAAAAATCATTATTGGTTAGAAAAAAAAATACCTAGATAAAATTTAAATCAATTTATCATTAATCTATTCAATGTTCTAATAGACAATAATTGTTATGTTAAAAAAATAATTTTAAAATAAATATATAAACTTACAGTATTATGAATAATCGATAAATCATTGTAAATATAACGTATTTGAACAATGAATATAGTTAATTGTTTAAGACGACCATCAAGTAAATAAAGACAATCATCTAAACTACGTACATTAATACATAATTTTGTAAGAATTGAAGAGCAAAAAGTAATTGATGGTAAATCAACTATTGATAATGGTGGATAACTACTCGTAAATGATCCAACAATACTTAAAGATTGAAGATTTTTGAATAAACTCAATATAGACACATATATATTATTATTATATTCTTTTGATAATATTCTTCCACCTACATAATCATAATTATCATTATTTTCAAGAATAAGTTCTGTTATTTGATATTTGAAAATATGTTGAAAGATTGACTTATCTAAACAAAAACAAAAAAACAATCAGATTATATATCTAGTTTTATTTAAATGCTACTATGTATCTTGATTTTTTTCATAAATATATATGAATATTTACCTGTAAAATAATTTAAAGCGATATTTTGTCCAAAATTAAACAATTTGAGAGAAGTCAAATTTGGATAGTTACCAGCAAGAAGAATACGTTTCATAGACATTGATTCAAGAATAAGATGTTTAACATTATGATGAATTTTTGGTAATATATCAATACAAAAACGATCAAGTATTTGATCATCAATTGAATAAATATCATCATCATCATTATCAGTTGATGATCTTGAAATCATATTGAGAGTATTTGTGAAAATATTATCTTGTAATAGAATGTCAAATTGTCCATCGAAAGTACCCATTAATGAATACAATACATTTATATTGTCAAGTCTTTTCAATATCATAAGTAATATCTCATTTGGTAAATCAACAAGATGAATATCTGACTGATTCATATTTCATTCAAATGGACAATTATTGATAAATGAAAATATATAACTATATCCATATATATATATACTGTTTGCTTTATAGTTGCTGCCGTCAGCGAACAAAAGAATAATGAATTCTTTGAGAGAAAAATGTAAAATGAGTCTGTCGTCTAGTTGGTTTATGAGATCATCAATTAAGAATGTACAGATAAAAATCGCACTTTTTTATCCTTTTCGCGTCCATCCAGGGTGTGGAGTTTGACTTGAAAGAGTATCTACATCTATACTCACACCCACTCTTAAAAATTTATGATTGTTTATTTGTAATTTTTTATATATTAATGTTTAGTTTTTTTTTTAAAGTTCTTTTTTTCTATTTATATTTTTGTTATTAATATTTTATTATATTTGTATTTTTTTTCGTTATTATTTTTATAATTATTTTCATTTGTTAAGCTCTGTCTGTTATTATATTCTTCAATTGAAATATTTCTGGTTAGAATTTTTTTTATTTGTAACTTCATTTTTTTTATTGTTTTTATTTTATGTTTGTGCTTGTAGTATTTTTTGGACTTGAACGAAGTCTCAATAAAATAAAATTTAAAAAAGCTTGTTAGCGCAGCTCTTGCGGAGCTCTCATATATCCTTAAACCTTAATATTCTATTGCATCATATGGAAACTGAAAAATTCCGGTCTAATAAATCACAATAAAATCGCCGATTTTTGCGCGATTTTGATGACATAGGTGGCTATGAGAATGTTTAAATAGGCATGTAGATATTTCAATAGCTACTGAGGTTTGTTTAAATAGAAAAATGTGAATGTTTTAATTAAAAAGTAACTCTTTTGAGAAGCTATGAATGTAAAGAAATACAAAATGTTGAAATACTTATAGATTTATTTGTAAACTCGTATACGTTGAAAAATGAAAAAAAAAATGAATATATAAAATTTTATTTTTAGTCTATTAGAAATTACATCCAAGAGAATAAAATATGAAAAAAAGAAAAAAAAAAGAAACATTAATTGTCTCTATCTATAAATTCAGACGCCCATAAATCACCATGAGTTCGTGTTAATAGAAGATTTGGAATTGGTGTGTTGGTGTTAGTCATTGTTGTTGTTGTTGTTATATCAGCACGTGGTTCATCAATTGTTTTTCGTGTATTTGATAAATGAAGAGCCATTTTT